CGCGCTCCAGCGTCCTGCCCGGTGCTCGCCGCCCGCCCTGCCGGGCCCAGGCGCGGGCGGCGGGCGCAGGCGGCGTGAGGCGCCGCAGTGGCACGCCGCGGCGCCGCTCAGCGGCGCGGGCGCCGCCGCGGCAGCCTGCAGGAGCGCACCGCGCCCCTCGCCGCGCCGCGCCGTTGGGAAGATGGCCTCGCGGCTGGGGCGCGGTGGGCGATGTGCGGTGTGTGTGTGTGTGTGTGTGTGCGTGTGTGTATGGCGAGCCGTCCAGGAGAAGGGGGGAAGGGAGGGGAGGAGGGGGAGGGGGATGAGGGGCGCGGAGGGGGATGAGGAGGAGGAGGAGGAGGAGGAGGAGGAGGAGGAGGAGGAGGAGGGGAGGAGGAGGAGGAGGAGGAGGAGGATGAGAGGAGGAGGAGGAGGAGGAGGAGGTGGACGAGGAATAATAGCAATACAATAGCTACTAAGAGTACGAAGAGGACATGATAATAATAAGGAGAAGGAGAAGACTAACAAGAACACGATCCAGGAAACGAATAATAATGATCATAATAATGACACTAGTCGTAACTATATGCGTACTAAGAACTATAGTGCGAATGACATAGGCACTAATATGAATGTGAAAAATATGAAAGTCTAGTCGTAATAGTAATAATAAGAATAGTAAAAAGAGGAGGAGGAGGAGGAGGAGGAGGAGGATGGGTGTTTGGAGGTTTTTTTTTTTTTTTTCTGGGCGGTGGTTTTTTTTTTTTTGGGGTGGTTGTCTTTGTTGTGTTTTTTTTTTTTTGAGGAGGAGGAGGAGGAGGTGGAGGAGGAGGAGGAGGAGAAGGAGGAGCAGGAGGGCTTGGGTTTGGGCGGAGGGCTGATGGTTCGTCGAGCAGTGGATGAGGCTGAGGGGGTGAGGGGGGGATGAGCACCAGGAGGACCAAATCATAATTTCTGCGAGTTTCCCAACTCGGTTCGTGATGTCATCTACCATGCGCAACTTAGCGCGAGTATGGCATCCGAGGGGGATCGAGGAGGGGAATCTTGAAAGGAGGAGGAGGGGTGGGAATAAGGACGGGGATACAGATACGAGCCGAGGGTCAGAAGGCAGAGGGAGAGACAGAGCTCCCCCTCGTGTTCTTCGTCGTTCTCATCGTCATCACCATCGTCGCCGTCGTCGTGATTCTCCCCCTCCTCCCGCTGCTGCTCTTCTCTTTCTTCTCATCTATTTCCATCTCTCGTTCTGTCTTGTCCTCCTCGTCTTCTCCTGCGTCCTCCCGTGTTCTTCCTCGTCCCTCTCGCCATCCCCCTTCCCCTCCACTTCCCCATCACCCGGTGCACTAGCCCCTCCCTGGGGGAACCCACCGTGCGATCCCCCTCCTTCTCTCCTCTAATTCCTCTTCCTCCTCCTCCCTTGTCCTCCTCCTCCTCCTCCTCCTCCTTGGCCTTGTCCCTCTCCTCCTCCTCCTCCCCCTCCTCCTCCTCCTCCTCCTCCTCCTCCTCCTCCTCCTCCTCCTCCTCCTCATGAATAACTTCTCCCTGTCGCACCCCGAGGCTAGTTTTTAGGGCGGTCCGGGCGTTTCGCCTGAGACCTCCCCACCATCTATGACCCTGAAGCTGAAACGTTGACAGCAGTTTCACAGATGAGGGCGTGTCGTTTTCAAGATGTGGCTCTCGCCTGAGCGCCGCGCACAATCGTTGGTAAACAAATGAAAGAGCTTCCCGGATTGAGGGCTGGTGGTTTTCAATATGTGACTCTCGCTTCGGCGCCGCGCACATTCGTTTGTAAAACATTGAAAGGGTTTCACGGTTTGAAGGCGGGTGGTTTTCAAAGTGTGGTTCTCGCTTTAGCGCCGCGCGCATTCGTTTGTGAAAACATGACAGAGTTTCACGGATTGAGGGCGGGTGGTTTTCAACATGTGGCTCTCGCCTTAGCGCCGCGCGCATTCGTTTGTAAAATTCGCAAGAGTTTCACGGATTCCCATGATCAGCGTCCCAGAACTTGTGATTTGGAAGGATGCAGGATTTCAGGGTGCATCAGTTACGTTGATTCGTGGGGTTGAAATCCCAGGCATGGTGTTCTGGTATGACTCAAGATCGTCAAGACGCAACAGTCAGGTTGGCCCGTGGCGTTGGAATCCCGACAGCAATGTTTTTGCATGTTTCAGGGTCTTCAAACGGTTGTCTTCCAAGGAGGCAGTTCCCTGTGGAAATGGACCGTTGTTGGGGCCTGTGAAGAGGGAGCTTGGAGGGAGGGCTTATTCCAACATCGTTGATGACTCTTGGGGTTTCACTGGTCCTCCTCCTCCTCCTCCTCCTCCTCCTCCTCCTCCTCCTCCCCCTCCTCCTCCCTGCCCCCCCCACCTCGCAGCCTCGAGCCTGCTGCGCCAGAGATGCCTCGGCCCGGGCCGCAGCCCCGGCGCCCCCGCCCATGGCGGGCGGCTCGGGCCTCTGGTGGGGCGGCGCCCGCGTGTCGTTCTACCACGCGTCCGTGGGGCCGCTCCTGCTGCTGACCGCCCTGCTGGCGAGACTCGCCAGGCCCGCCACCGCGGAGGAGCGGCCGAAGCAGTTCGGGTCCTTCCGGGACCTGTACCTCTCCGTGTGGGCTCTGTGTGTGGCTGCCGACTGGCTCCAGGGGCCCTACGTCTACGCGCTCTACGCCGCGTACGGCTTCGGCGGCCAGCGCATCGCGCAGCTCTTCGTCTGCGGCTTCGTGTCGTCGCTCGTGTTCGGCTGCTTCGTCGGGAGCCTCACGGACAGGTTCGGCAGGAAGAAGTGCTGCCTGGCCTACTGCCTCTTCTATCTGGAAGCTTTCGCCCTGCGGCGTTGGCCCTCCTGCGCTGATGGACTCGTGGCTTGAGGGCAGTTGGGCTGGGTGTGTCCACGGGCCTTCAGGCCCTCTTGGGCTTTGGGTCCTCTCGTGGCCTTGTGGGCTCATCTTGAGGCCTCTTGGGAGCATCTTGGGGCCCATGATGGCCACCCTGGGGCCATCGTGGGGCCATCCTGTACAACCTTGCGACCGTCTTGGCGGCCTCTGGGGGGCCGTTTCTGAGGCATCTTGGGGATCTTTGGGGGACACCTCGGACGATTTCGGGGGCATCTTGGTGATTCTTGGGGCTGCAGTGTGGGCGACTTGGGCGATATTGCGGGTACGTTGGGGCTTTTGCGGGATCTCTTCTCTTGAAACCGTTTGTGGATTTTCTGAGCGAAACAAGCGACATCCTCCAGAAGCGCGAAGTCCTCTGAGCTAAAAAACTTGGAGGCTCGAACTGCTTAAACGGTGCTGGAAGGCTCTCGAATTGGGCAGCTAGGAGATGATATTACATTGTCTGTGGCTGGTAGTCTTGTGGGCTGAGATTGCACAGTCTGCCGGCGGTAGTGCTTTCCGTATTGGCCTCTACCATGAGGCGGTGTGTTCGGCACCGATCGCAGCAACATTTCCCAGGCTTGAGTGCATCAGACCTCCTTCACTTGCTCGAACTAATCCTTCGTTTACCCCACCATGGTGATTGTATTGCGGGAGACCGTCGTATCCAGGCCCCACGGTGCTCACTCAACCTGTAGGAGTTTCCGAACACACATGCTGACTCGTCAAGAGGGCCTCGAGTTCGCAGCCCAGCGGCCCCCCATGGGGTCTCGCTGACATCGTGTCCTGCATCACGAAGCACTTCAACAACTACGCAGTGTTGATGGCGGGCAGGATGGTAATGCCTCGGGTTATGTTGCTCCCATCGTACTTAAGGACGACATCCCAAAAACAAAACAATTTCGAGCACCCAGAAGAGTATCGAAACAGTGTCGAACGAGTATCGCCTCCCAGGGCCCGACATGTGAAACTCCTCAAGTTTAGGTACCTCTTTGGTGCTCGAAATCCGTTCTGGCGATCAAGGCTAAACTAGGTTGGAGCATCATAGGGTTCGGGTTGCGCGCAGACAGCCCCGCCCCCAGGTAGTCCCGGCTGGCCTCCACAGGCCCTACGTAAGAGTAGCTCCGGGCGGTCTCAGCACCATGATCGCCCTGGGGGCGCTGTGGGAGGCGGTGCCAGGGCCGCCAGCCGGGACTACGTTGGGGAGGAGGAGGAGGAGGAGGAGGAGGAGGAGGAGGAGGAGAAGGTGGAGGAGGAGGAGGAGGTGGATGAGGAGGATTTTTTTCCAGTGCGCTGCGCACACCCAGGCTCCTAATCGCGGGGATGCGCGGGCCTGCACGTGCGGGTTTGAACCAGAATGCCTCGAATAGGAAGTCCGAGTATAACTGGAAGCCGTTCCACACGCTGCTGAATTCCTCAACCAATTGACCGACGATGCCAAAGGAGATCATGCAGATCTTCTTCACGATGTCTGGACGAAGCCCGACCTGCGGAGCACAGCAAGCCTGGAAGGCCCAAGCGAAGCCAACTGCTCCTCCGTGCACGTGCGCGAGGCCCCCGTGCACTCCGAGCCGCCGTCGTGGGAGCCGCCGCCGAGGTGGTCGCCGTCCTCCTCGATGCCAAGCTCGGGGGAGCCCTCGCAGGTGGAGCCCTCGCCGTTGCCGCCGAAGTTGCCCTCGACGGCCCCGCCGACGCTCTGCTGGTAAACGTCGTAGCGCTCGGGCCCGTCGAAGGGGAGCGGCGCGCCGAGGTCGATGTCGTAACGCTCGGGCCCGTCGAAGTGGAGCGGCGCGCCGAGGAAGTGGGAGTCGGGCTCGAAGTGGCCCTCGGAGGAGTCGGGCACGAAGTTGCCCTCGGAGGTGTTGGGCAAGGCGCCTTCAGAGATGTCGAAGATCTTGGGCAGCGTGCCCTCAGAGTTGTCGAGCTTGTCGGTCTGCTGGTTGGAGTCCTTCTCAAGCGTGCACGGAACAGCTGTTTTGCAATCGGTCATGGCTCGAAACGCCTTGACGATGGTAGGACGCCTGGGCTGAAACTCCTCGAACTGTAAGGCCGAAGATGCGCCCGGCGTGAACGTCAACGGAGCCTCGCCGACCTTGGTGGGCTCTACTCCTTCTTCACCTGGAAGGGCAGCGGCAGCGGCGGCAGCTCCACAGGACACCGGCCGACGTTCACGAGCACCGCCGATCCCGTAGATGAAGATGATCCCGCAGGAGTCGTTGAGCTCGTCGCACGCGCTGAGCTCTGACCGCCGAGAGGAGCTTGCGAGGACGACGGGCTCGCCTGGGGAGCCGTGACGGAGAGGCTGTACAGGTATGCCTTGAGCATCTTGTGCCTCAGCCTCTTCTTGTAGTTCTTGATGGCCGAGGACTGGCCGTTGTTCTTCTTCTTCTTCACGTTTTCCTCCTGCTTCCCGATGCTCTGATCCAGCCTCACTGTGCCGAGCGTCTTGTGCCAGCGCTTCAGCTTCTTGACGGGCTGTAGCGGCGGTGAAGGTGGCGCTGGTATCGTGCCCTCGATCGGCTCCTTCGAAGTGAGGACCAGGGTGACCGTGTCCAGCTTCACCTTCGTGTTGTACTCCTTGCCCGTGTCCAGTGGGTCGTCCCAGTTGCCTGGCGGAGGCGATGGAGGAGGTCCCAACGTCCAGCACTGTGACGTTGACACTGGGCCAGTCGCCATGATGGGCAAAGTCGGAGATACGCGCTCCCAGATCGCCGCAGATAAGCGGGTAGGGCACCAGGAAGTCGAGTCTGCGCATGCACCAGTAGAAGCACTGGTGGAAGCAGAACTCGAAGAAGTATTTGACCTCGGAGTTGCGAAGGATGTGCTTCGTCTCAAGCCGCAGCCGCCTGAAGGAGGCAGCGTTCAGCCCCGAGGGGGCCACATGCGCGCGGGCGGCCCTCGCGCGCGGCGGCCCTGGCTTGAGAGGAGGAGGAGGAGGAGGAGGAGGAGGAGGAGCAGGAGGAGGTGGAGGAGGAGGAGGAGGAGGAGGAGGAGAGGAGGGGAGGAGTGAGGAGGAGGAGGAGGAGGAGGGGAGGAGGAGGAGGAGGAGGAGGAGGAGGAGGAGGGGGCTGCCTGTGCGCAGCCCGTGTCCATACCAGAGCAGGATCACCGGTGGCATAGCGACGTCCATGCTGTTCTCCTGCTTCGAGTGCTGGATGGTGTCCGAGCACCTGCAGCGGCACCGTTTCTCGCCTGGGCTGCTGTCCTACATGTTCCCGCCTTTGCTACTGGCCTTGAAGACCAGGAGGAGAAGGACGAGGCAGGAACAGGAAGAGAACTGGTGATGAAAAATGGGCAGTGAGCAGGGAAGGATGAGGACACGAGGGGGAGGAGGATGAGGAGGAGGAGGAGGAGGAGGAGGAGGAGGAGGAGGAGGATGAGGAGGAGGAGGAGGAGGAGGAGGAGGGGTGAAAAGGAGGAGGAGGAGCAGGAGCAGGAGGAGGAGGAGGAGAAGGAGGAGGAGGAGGAGGACTAGGAGGAGGAGGAGGAGGACGAGGAGGCGGAGGAGGAGGAGGAGAAGGAGGAGGAGTAGGAGGAGTAGGAGGAGATCGGCGGGAGATCGGCATGAGCAGTGCGCAATCGTATAATGAGGGTTGCTAGAATGCTATACACACACTCACACGTGCACGTGCACATTAGCATTAGCTCTAGCGATAGCTCGGTTGGCATCCCACCAGTGCAGGGCCTCCTGAACTCTCGTGGGCATGCCCTTTGGGTGGGCCACAAGCCTCGCGCAACTCACCTAAGATTCTGCTCTTTTTTAGCCGTCTTATGGCCACACTCCTTAGCTAGTGTTCTTATCATTACACCGCTACAGCCCCCACAGGAGGAGCATACATACATATCGAATTGGTCAACATAAACGAGGGTGTGCGACGGGTGCAGTGCCTTCCCACCCACACTCAAGCCCGACGACGACGACCCTCCCACCCCAGGACGATGCACGCACACCGCGCCAGCTTGTGCAAACTGCTGTGGCCTGCACTGACTTCGCGAACCACTCCAGGTCCGCGTGCAGGGCAGATCTCTCACATATTCTGCAATGCCACCTCGCAGACACACATTCAAGATGGTGTTGCGACGAGGCGGTCAGGATCGCCTGCTTGCACGCTCTAGGGCCACGGGGCTCGGCATTCGACTTGATGGGGTCGAGAGCCATGCATTCAGTATTGGCACGGACAGCTCTGCGCCGCACGAGGTGCGCCACCGCGGCAAATCAACCCACTTCAGGTTTAGCGGTGGCTTTACTCACAACCTCGGCGGCAGCTTGACCAGCAGCAGTGTCGGCGCATTCATTTCCTGCGATCTGCCAGAGCTGGTGCGGGGTTTCATTCCCCGTGAGCTCCTCTGCTTGATGACCGTGCAGAAAACACAACTTGAATTTTAGACTCATCCCTCTCACTCACTGCTGCCCGTATGGCCAGCCACAGGTCCGCATCAGCGATCTTGCAGTAATCCATCCCTCCAAGTTCCGTCTTCATAGGTCCCCACAAGGATCAATCTTCACTGAGGGAAGTGACCCGTTGTAAGACAACCGTTTTGACAATCCAGAATTGTGCCAGAACACCGTTCCTGGGATTTCAGCGCCGCGATGCACGTTACAAGGTGCGTCTTGACGATTCCGAGACAACATTCCTGGGATTTCAGCACCGCGAATCAATGCAATTGTGGCGCCCTGACATTCCGACATCGTCCCGCAACACCATTCCTGGGACTTCAGCACCGCGACTCAACGTGACTGTTGCGCCCCGACGTTCCGACATCGTCCCGAAACACCATGTCTGGGACGTAACCTCAAGTCGGGCACTTCCCTCTACGGGAGGAATATTCAAAAAAAATAATAACAAATAGTCTGGGGACGATTTACGAATTTTTGGACAGTTCTTGAGTATGTTTTGATGCTATTCGCCCCGAATCCGCCTGTAGGAGGACATGCCCGACCCAAACGTAATCATTAGAGTCCTTGAAACTGCTGCAAGCTCTTCTCCGACGGTGCGCGGCGCTACGGCAAGAGCCACACTCTGAGAGAAGGAGCCGCCTTCCGTGGTCCAAAGCCTCCAAGTATGGCTCGGGGCGGGGCCAGGCCAGGCCGAGGCCTCACTGGAGCTCCTCTTCGACTTTTCTTCCTGCCTCCCTACAGGTTTCGCCCTTCGCTGGAGTGCTGCCCCAGGGCAACATGAGGAGGACGAGGAGGAAGAGGAGGAGGAGGAGGAGAAGGCGGAGGAGGCGGAGGAGGAGGAAGGAGGAGGAGGAGGAGGAGGAGGAGGAGGAGGAGGAGGAGGAGGAGGAGGAGGAGGAGGAGGAGGAGGAGGAGGAAGGAGGAGGAGGAGGAGGAGGAGGAGTAGGAGGAAGAGGGGGATGTTCTTCAATTCTCGTACCAACACGTCGCGTGCCCTCTCTTCAGCGCTCTGGCGCCGGGTCCGGGCAGATGCCGGCCCTGCCTTTCGGAACGTCAACAGCAGGCTCCATCGCCGACATCAGCACCGGCAACCGCCCTTGCCCCTAACAGGGCCGCTGCGTGAGCGGAAGCCAGCGACGCCACCATGGCGGCTGGCGACGACGCTTCCATCCTGAACGAGGCGTTCTGCTTGGTCCATGCCAACGGGGACTCCATGATAATGCAGGCTGTCGGCCAAGTTCCCCAGCCGTTCGCGATTGCTGCGTTCATGAGGGCGCCTCCAGAGTTGCCGCCGCCAGTTGCTACTCTATCCTGTCGCCTCCTGCGTGACGGGTTGGATGATGAGGTGCTCCAGCACTTTGAGCTGGTGCAGGCGACGGCCCTCCCGAACACCTCACGTTCAGGTTTCCATCGGGTACTCAGAGGACCGGGCGAGTCTGTCCCTGATCCTCCTCCTCCTCCTCCTCCTCATCCTCCTCCTCCATTGATTGTCCTGAGCACCTCGCCGAGACCAATGTCAGCGATCATGCGGCGCACGTGGTGAAGATCACGCAACGATCTCTTCGGCCTGCTCATGCTCATCGAATCCCACGGCACCTGTTTGAAAGTGATGACTTCCAAAAACAGCTCAAGACAGTATGCGACAAGCTCAACTATGCGGACAAGAGCCCCCCTCGTCAGATCGAACTACACAAGTGGGCCATTCGTGAGGTGGCTGCCGATCTTCGTGGTCGGCTTTTTCACAAGGCGCCTGAGGCCAATTCGACGCTCTTGCTACTTGCTCGGCAAATCTCTAGGGTGGTATGGCGGAACGACCACAAGCTGGCTCGCAAGTTGATGACCAACCATACTGCGGCCTACGACTTTTAGATATTCAGCACAACATGGTCCGTCTACGCCATCCTGCCTCCTTTCAACACTGGTGTGATGAGATTCAACGTCGACATGCAGATCAACTTCGCACTCCACTTGAGGAACGACTTGCCCGACCTCGTGCTCCTCAGGCTCTGCGTCATCAGCTTGCTGCTGTGGAACGGCGTTCGGGCATCTGGTCTCCTCTGAATCGCAGATTGGTATTGCGTGCGGTGAAGCACCCGTCTGACCCGACTTGCGTCTCCAGCGACTCAGCGACCATGACAAACCGCCTGATCGAGCACTGGGCCCCCATCTTTGAGGCCAAGCCGATCGATCTCTGCCTGGCACAAGCATACATCGAACAACATGTTCCGCTATTGGACTTCTCCAAGGTTGAGCCGCCATCTCCCGCCCTCTTGCGGCGCATAGCTAACAATATGCACTACTCTGAACCTGGGCTGGACTCTATCCCTTAGTCCGCTTGGGCGGCTACTGACGCTGGAATCAATGTGTTTTCGGACGCTATGATATGGATTATGCAGGGCCAATCCCTTTTCAAAAGCTCAAATGACACGCTTCAGGTTTGGCTGCCCAAGGGCGAGGGGATCGAGGACTCTCTGGCTACTGGTTGCTCTCGCTCCCCTGGGGCGGTCCGTGTGCTGGGCTTGCGGAACACGGACATTAATATTATCACCACCACTGTCAACATCCAGTTCAGCAGGTTGCTCATGGATTGGGCACCCCGATCCCAGAGGGGCTTCATCCCCAAGCGGAGCTTTGGAGTCAACATCCTCGAGCTCGACGTTGCAGCCCGCACGTACTCTAATTCCCCTACGGCAAGCGCTGACTTTCCGGCTCTTGTTGCATTGGACTTCGGCGCGGCCTTCCCGAGTTTGGCGCAGTCCTTTATGTTGATGGTCCTTTCGGCAAATGCAGGCCCCCAGCGCGTTCCTAGCTATCATGGAACAGCTTTATCATATCCTAGACGCGATCGTCATGAAAAATGGGCTCCCTACATTTGCGTGGCGCATCTCATCTGGTATCATACAAGGATGCTCACTCAGTGGATCGATATATGCGGCAGTGACGGCATGCTTTCTCTTCGACCTTCAGTCGCGGATGGAGGGCCCACGGCTTGGCCTTGCACGTGCCTGCGCTGACGATATTGGATGCGTCGTCAAGCAGCTTCAGGCACTCCGCATCCTTGCTGACGTGATGCAGACAGCGGAGAGGATCGCCACGCTTGTGCTCAAGCTCACCAAGTGCCTGCTTGTACCGCTCCACGCACAGTTCACGGAGCAGATGTCTGCCTCCATGCATGAATCGATCCGTGATATTGTTCCCTTCTTTGCCAAAATTCAGGTGGTTAGCCCTCTGACTTACCTTGGCCTTGTCCTGGGCCCTGCTGCAGATGAGAGCTCATGCTGGCTGGCGCCATCTATCAAAGTTAAATTGAGACCGAGATTGGTAGGCACGAGCCCGCCGCGGTCTCGCGGCTTGCGGTCAACTACACTACAAGAATTGCCCCCGTGCTCTCGTACGTCGCGCAGTTCCGCATGATGCCCAGCTGGCTTCTCCGCGAGGAGCTGGTGG